CTCCCTTCCCGCCCCGCCGCCCACCGTTTAATAGTTTAGAATCCTCCTTCCGACCCGCGTACCTCCTCCGCAAGCGGCCGAGTCGCCTCTCTCACGGCCCCCACCCCCGCTCGCCTGCCAGAATAAAAGATGTCCGCACATGTGTCTTCCGTACGCCACCTCTGTCCGTGCTGCTAGTCAGCTCTCTGTCTCTGTCTCTGTCTCCCTCCCCGTCCCTCCGCCTCCGTGTGTGCCCCTGCCTCCGCGCCCCCTCCGACCCGTGCGCTCTCCCTCTCCCGCCGGCCCGGGCAACCCTCTCCCCTTCCCCGTCGGCCCCACGCCGGCACCCCGCCCCGCGCGCCATCTCGCGACCGCGTCCGCCCGGCTCGCGCGGGCCGGGGCGCCCACCTCGCCAATCGGCTCGCCAGACGCCGCGCCGACAAGGCCTGACACGCCCTCCACTGGCGCGCGGGCCGCCACACGTGGCCGCCGGCAGCCCTGCGCGCCGCGGTGCATATCGCGTATGATAAAAAACCTTACTTACAACCAGGGAGAACGCGGCGCGCTTAGGGGATTAGCGGGGATTAGCCGCCCCTCCCAGATCGCCCTCGAGACCCGCCGCCGCGGCCCGCGTCAGCACGCTCACCCCTGCACAGCCGCTGCTTCCCAAACCCGCGCGCGCGCCCGCCGCCAGGCCCGCCGCGCACCCGCCCCCGCCAAGTCACGCGCCGCGCGCAGCAGCGTCTCGCGAATGCATGACGGGCGCGGGAAGCGCCTTGCGCCCGGCGGATTGGCCAGAAACACACCCGCGATCCGCGCGACCCGCGCGACGCGTCGGCGCGAGTGCGTAGCCGCCGCCAGCTGAGCGCAGATACCCTACCTCCCTTCCGCGGCCGCACTCCGGAGGGCGGCAGAGCCCCCGGCTTCCATTCCCCCCGCCCGCCGGACGCGGGCTAACGCCGCACCGATTGGTAGGACAAGATATTTCGCCCGGACGCACGCCGACAAATGACCGCCCCCGTCCCGTCATACAGCGCCGCAAGCACTAGTCCACTTCAAATGCAACATTCCCTCGGCCTCGCGACTCAAAGACCTTGGTCGTGTTTACTGTGGGACGAGCAACGGCGGTGTTAAGTACCGGTGGAGCTGTGTACACGTGTAAGTACCTCCCGCACTCGCTTGCAAAAGGGAAAGCATGCCAACACATACTTGTACGCAGCAGCCGTGCACGACTGCAGCACCCGCTTTTCCTCACGTTACTCGCCATATCTTGTCTCCCCGCTCTTCACACGTGTCATTGAACAATTCATTCGCCCCTCCACCGCCGCGTCGCACCCGGTCGTCTCTCTCCTGTAACTGAACATGTTACAGGAGAGAGATACGTGGTGGACATGTCGGGGTGGAACTGCGCTGGAGGGAAAGCAGTACCCAAGGGTATTGTATGGGGAAGCCTGGAGCCCAACTTGAGTGGTGCAAATCTCCAATTCACAGGAAACCTCCACAAGTGCGATCCAGCCTTTTCTTTACTTTCCTTTCTTCTTGTCTTTAGAGCCCCTGACTTCTCCATACCTATATCGACATCTATGTCTTCACTTCTGACAACTGGATCTTGATCGTTTGCTGCGAATGCAATGCCAGACATTGACTGATATTGCACCTATCTCGCGGAACAACTTGCGTCGACTGCCTCTGGACCCGGTCATTAGTCTGTCCAACATCAACCCCTATGTGCTGCATACCGTCGTGCAAATGCGCATGTATTTGGAATCGAGCGAGGCTCTAGCGGAACACGGATGTCGCGGGGCTCAAGCGAGCGAAACATGTGCGGGCGCGTGGGAAGGGCGCTCATGGCCTTGTAAATTTTATGCAGACTCTGTGACACGGGAAACGCGGGAGAGAAGAGACACACACACACACAAGTAAATGCGAGCGCTTTTTTTTTAGCTTTTTTTTTAGCTTTTTTTTTTACGTGTCGTACCCTTCCCCGAGGGGGCAATTTGGTAATTATTTTGACGGAGCCTGACAAGTGTTTTATGGCACTAGTGCTTATCTCTCACATGGTACCCAATGCCCCTTGCAGGGACGGTGTTCTTCATTGGATCGAGTGACGACGCCGTCGTTCCGTAAAGGGAGAGGGAAGGACGTTGTCGGATGGCAGAGACTTGGCAGGCCGCTGCTTGGTACGAAAGGAGGGGCACGAAGGAGGAGGGGAACGGCAGCGAAACAATGTCTCGAGATAAACCAATTCTCAATGCCGTCACAACTCTCGATCGGGGCCGCTCTGCAACTTCTTACTTCGTATGTCATATTTCCATAGCGAACTGTGCCTTTCGCAACGCGCTTGCGCTCTTCTTCTCGCACGACATTCATGTGCGCCCCTTGCAATGCTCGATGTGCTTTTCACCCAACACGCGCTCCTATTCCCTGCCACATCTCTCAACCGACATCTTTCCTCTCTCCGTTCTCCCGACGCCTTTCTCTCCTCGAAAACCTGTTCGCCATCTCACAAAGGCGTCTTCTTCGGCACCCCCGGCAACCTCGGAAACGCCACTGGCGTTGCCTTCACCTTTCGTACAGCCACAATACACTTCTTCCTTCCGTCAACCTCTTCCGCCTCTTCCCCCTGCCCCTGCATCCACTCCCACGGCCACGCCTCGCGCACACCTTCCACCTTCCCGCCCAGCCTTCTGATGGCCTTCTTCGCGGCGGCGATCTCCTCAGCGCCCGCGCCCACGCTCTTTTGCGTGACAAACGCACCCCCGCCCCCTTTGCCAGCGGCACGCACAGTCCGCAGCAAACGCGCATTTCCGCCAACCACCGTGCCACGACCGCGTCATACCGTCCCCGATGCATCTTACTCTGCCCGACCTCCTCCGCCCTCCCCCACACGGACGTCACGTTGGGCAGGGCCAGCTCGCGTTCCACGATGTCGTGGAAGCGCGTCTTCTTGCGCGCGGCCTCGAGCAGCGCAACGTCCCACTGCGGCCTCGCGATGGCCAGGACGAGCCCCGGTAACCCCGCACCCGTGCCGACATCGACGACGCGCAGCCCGGTGGCAGCGGCCGCGGCCTCCGCATCCAGCGCCGGTAGCAGGCTCAGCGCGTCCACGACGTGCTTAAGAAGCACGGCATCGCGCGTGCGGATCGCCGTGAGGTTGTACCGCTTGCTCTCGCTCAGCAGCAGATCCGTGAGCCGCACGAGGGTGTTGAGCCGCGCCACGTCCAGGCCCTGCGAGTGGGCCGCGCGGCGCAGCACTGCGTGCGCGGGGGCGATGTTTTGCTGCGTCGCGCAGCCGCGCAGCGCCACGCGCCGCAGCGGCCGCGCCCGGCATGCAGATCGCGGCACGTGACGGGCGCGCCGGGTCGGCGGCGAGACGGCGAAAGCCATGCGGCAGGGGGTGGGTCACGGAGCCATGTAGACATGTAGACGAGGATGGTGTGCGTGGGGGCGGCGGGCGTGGAGGTTCGAAATATCTGCAATGAGATCGAGAAGGATCTGTGGGTAGGGACCCGATTTTGGGGGGCGTCGGCGGGAGTGTTGCCACGCGGTGTTAAGGATGTTATATTGCTTTTCCCTGCTTGAGGCTGCTGCGGTCACGGTCACGAGGCGAGCGGCAAGCCGGTGCGGCAGAGCAGTCGGAGGCCGACTGTGGGATCTGCTAAACTGGGCGACCCGTGCTGTGCTTTCGGGTAAGGAAAGTCGGCTGCTCTGCCTTTACTGGAAACGGAGTACCGGAAACGGAGTACCGTTAGCGTACAGATGAGTGTTTTCGATTAACACCGAGTCGCCGTTGGCCACAGGTTTCGGAGATTCGCCCACAACTCTGCCGTCCCGCTCCGTCGTCCTCCCTTTTGCCTGTCGTCCTCCCTTTTGCCTGTCGTCCTCCCTTTTGCCTGTCGTCCTCCCTTTTGCCTGTCTTCCTCTCCGGCTGAAGGAGAAGGCCCTCGCGGCGATGACGAATGCACTATAATACACGTGTTACTGTTGTCATATATAATATATAATATTTTAATATTTTAATAATAATTACAACCATAATAATTACAACCAAAACAATTACACCAAAAATGTGTTACATTACGCCGCCTATCCATGTGGTACTGTACCTCTCCCGACACTGCCCTCGCCTTCCATCCCGCCCCCGCCTTCCTCTGTTCTCAGTGAGAACAGAGAAGGCGGGGGAAGGCGGGGGCGTGAGAACTTCTCACTCACCCTCGTCCCGCGTACTGCCGTCTGATCTGTCCCGCTGCAACGCCGCAAGTTGGGCTACCGCCTCCGCGTTGTTGTCTTTCTCGACCGCCATCTCGTACAACTGTATCGCTCGATCCGTGTCGCGGGCCACCCCGTCCGCCCCGTCTCGCATCATGTTTCCAAGACACACCATTGACTTGCTCTGCTTCCGTTCCTTGATGTCCATCTCAAACAGCTCCACCGCACGCACCGCATTGCGCTCCACCCCTTCCGCTCCGTCCCTCAACATCATCGCAAGATTGCAAGTCGCGTTACCGGAATTTCCTTCCGCCATTGCACGATCATACAGTGCCACAGCTCGTACCGCGTCACGCTCTACTCCTTCGCCACCTTGTTTCAGCAAATTACCGAGGTTAACCATGGCATCGACGTCCTCACCCTTCTCGATAGCGCGTTCATACAGCTCCACTGATCTCACCGCGTTGCGCTCTACTCCTTCGGCACCTTCTGAGAGCAAAAGACCGAGTCTCACCATGGCATCGACGAGGTCACCCTTCTCGATAGCGCGCTCATACAGCTCCACTGATCGCACCACGTTACGCTCTACTCCTTCGGCACCTTGTTGGAGCAAAACACCGAGATTAAACATCGCACAGACGTGGTCACCCTTCTCGATAGCGCGCTCATACAGCTCCACTGATCGAACCGCGTTACGCTCTACTCCTTCGCCACCTTGTTGGAGCAAAAAACCGAGGTTATTCATGGCATCGACGTCCTCACCCTTCTCGATAGCGCGCTCATACAGCTCCACTGATCGCACCGCGTAACGCTCTACTCCTTGGGCACCTTGTTGGAGCAAATCACCGAGGTTAACCATGGCATCGACGTTCTCACCCTTCTCGATAGCGCGCTCATACAGCTCCACTGATCGCACCGCGTTGCGCTCTACTCCTTCGGCACCTTGTTGGAGCAAAAAACCGAGGTTATTCATGGCATCGACGTCCTCACCCTTCTCGATAGCGCGCTCATACAGCTCCACTGATCGCACCGCGTCACGCTCTACTCCTTCGCCACCTTGTTGGAGCCAAACACCGAGGTTAAGCATCGCAAGGACGTGGTCACCCTTCTCGATAGCGCGCTCATACAGCTCCACTGATCGCACCGCGTCACGCTCTACTCCTTCGGCACCTTGTCTCAGCAAATAACCGAGGTTATTCATGGCATCGACGCGGTCACCCTTCTCGATAGCGCGCTCATACAGCTCCACTGATCGCACCGCGTCACGCTCTACTCCTTCGCCACCTTGTTGGAGCCAAACACCGAGGTTAACCATGGCATCGACGTTCTCACCCTTCTCGATAGCGCGCTCATACAGCTCCACTGATCGCACCACGTTACGCTCTACTCCTTCGCCACCTTGTTTCAGCAAATTACCGAGGTTAACCATGGCACCGACGTGGTCACCCTTCTCGATAGCGCGCTCATACAGCTCCACTGATCGCACCGCGTTGCGCTCTACTCCTTCGGCTTGTTGGAGCAAATTACCGAGGTTATTCATGGCATCGACGTTCTCACCCTTCTCGATAGCGCGCTCATACAGCTCCACTGATCGCACCACGTTACGCTCTACTCCTTCGCCACCTTGTCTCAGCAAAAAACCGAGGTTAACCATGGCACCGACGTTCTCACCCTTCTCGATAGCGCGCTCATACAGCTCCACTGATCGAACCGCGTTACGCTCTACTCCTTCGGCACCTTGTTGGAGCAAAAAACCGAGGTTATTCATGGCATCGACGTGGTCACCCTTCTCGATAGCGCGCTCATACAGCTCCACTGATCGCACCGCGTTACGCTCTACTCCTTCGCCACCTTCTTGGAGCAAAACACCGAAGTTAAACATCGCAAGGACGTGGTCACCCTTCTCGATAGCGCGCTCATACAGCTCCACTGATCGCACCACGTTACGCTCTACTCCTTCGCCACCTTGTCTCAGCAAATTACCGAGGTTATTCATCGCCATGACGTTCTCACCCTTCTCGATAGCGCGCTCATACAGCTCCACTGATCGCACCGCGTCACGCTCTACTCCTTGGCCACCTTCTTGGAGCAAAACACCGAGGTTAAGCATCGCAACGACGTGGTCACCCTTCTCGATAGCGCGCTCATACAGCTCCACTGATCGCACCGCGTTACGCTCTACTCCTTCGCCACCTTGTCTCAGCAAATTACCGAGGTTAACCATGGCATCGACGTTCTCACCCTTCTCGATAGCGCGCTCATACAGCTCCACTGATCTCACCGCGTTGCGCTCTACTCCTTCGGCACCTTCTGAGAGCAAAAGACCGAGATTAAACATCGCAACGACGTCCTCACCATTCTCGATGGCGCGCTCATACAGCTCCATAGATCGCACTGCGTCAAGTGCTTCTTTCCCTTCTGTCTCTCTTGGCTCGAAAGCAACCCGCTCCCCAATCTGACGCAGCTCCCTATCCCTCGTGGAATAATGAAAGCGGTCGGCTTCTTGCTCCTCACTTTTCTTTTTCACCCACCGAGATACTCGTTTCACAAGATGTTCCCTTGCATCATGGCTGAATTCATCTTCCAGCAGGTTCGTTGCGTTTTCGTTATTTTCTATTCCAGTGATATCTGCCAACTCTTGTAGCTCTCTCATCACCGTATCCGTGCTCGCTTCGCGCTGTCGTTCCTCGCTAAAAAACTTCTCAACTTGAAAAATATTATTTCCTTCATCATCCGAGTACCGATTGGGCTCCAACTCTCTGCATTCACGAATAGTTAATCTGTAAAACACCGGCATCAGTGTCGGTGGCGGCATCCCACTGCTTATCGCTTCTCTGCGTCGGCGCAGGAAGCACCGCAGTTCCCTCATTGTCCATTTTCGAGCTGCAAACTCGGGAGAAAGAATGAAAACACCGACCTTCGCAGACTCCATAGCCTTCGTCATTTCATCCCGTCCGCAGTCCCCGGGCTCCATCGAGATTTTGTCGAGGAAGCAATTTAAACCTTGAGCTTGCAATTTCTCGGAAAGGGGACGTGCGATGAATAGCTTGTCTGGGCCAGCATGGCTTATGAACACATCGGGAGACCGTCTCTCTCGCCGTCTTCTACTTGGTCCCGTCTCTTGCCGGAAGCTTTCCTGCATTTTTTTGTGAATAGCAAAAGACAAGTTGGTGAGGTGCGGAGTGTGTTAAGAGTGTGTTATGCGTGAGAACGGCACTGGCTGTTAGAAAAACAGGGACGCGAAGGTTGAAGGCCGCGTTCAGCGCGTGGCACTCTTGTCGTTGTCGACGAAAGCGGAAACAGTGGCGACGTTCGTGTGGGTCAGTAGGGTGAGCTGATGTGCTTTCGCTTGTTCTTCCGTGAAGGAATGTTCGTGTGACTTCTTCGCGGAAAGAGGCACTCAGGGTGGAGCGATTTCCTATGCTCGTCAAAGAAGAAGGCGGCTGTTGAGCGGATTGTCGCTGCGTTGTGGGCACATCGTGAGTTTAGTAAGGCTGCTCTCGCTGTGTGAGGCATGATTAACGTTTGATTTTTAGCACTAGATTTTAGTTGAAATTTCAAGGGTTTCTTTGTTGTTCCGCGCAAGCTTCCAAGTGGAAGCTTGGCGGCTATCAAACGTGGAAGGAAGGGTGGAGGCCCTGAGTGAGAAAGACACGCACAGGTGAATAATTTAGAGAAAAAATAAAAAGACAACCGGACCCCAAACCCAAACCACCACTCGCGAGTCGCGTGTGCGTCGCGACTCGCGACGCACAAACATGACTTTTACGCCAGTAGTGGGAGCTTCAAGGGACTGCAGGGGCTTGTCCATCAGTATTACAGTAGTACAGTAGATTCCTTATTGAAAGTGTAAATGTGACATTAAAGGCATTTGTATGACGCTTTCTGGAATCGGATTTATACTGAATTTTCCTTACATCAAGAGATTGAAGTAATGGCTCTGGTACGGTCAAAAATGATACCACGGGCATGGTGGACGCCCTCGGACGTCTTTTAACAAGGAATTCCTTACACAAGGTTCCTTCAATCAAGGGATGACTGTACAGTACAGTAGTACAGTACAAAGCCCTGTAACAGTACCCTTCGGGTACCGTTACCTTCAGGTTTGCGAGAGTAGACAGAGAGGGCCATGTACAGGAGGGGTCGCGATATAGTGCCATCTTTGTTAGTGCCAGCTCCGATATAGTGCTACCCTTCTGCGGGTGGCACGAATTTTGAGCCAAAAATGAAGGGTCTCCAGAGAGGCAGTTGGATGGACGAACTGCCCGAGAGCCACTGCCGCCACGGAAAGATAGTATGCAGTTGCTAGCTCGAATAGAGACTATGAGAGTATGGCGGAAAAAGGCAAGGTCGACGATGCAATTGGACATCTGCAAAAGTGTAGGCTGGCATTTATGGCTGCGAAAAAGGAGGAAGTAATGCGACGGCTCGGCAGCTACTAATAACATAAAGGGAGATTCTGCGATTGGGGGGGTGACAGCTTGCAGAATTAGACAACACCTATATGGGAATCTAATTCTGCCAGCGATCGCCCTGGATCTACAGCTTTTAGCCTAACATAAATGCTTGATTAGACTTGAGTCTGTAGTCAAGATGGTAAGTATGAGTGATGGCGTCCTGCGAGGGGTTTTTTTCGAGCAGTGATGCAAGGAAATGGCTGCAAAAAGCCGTAAATCTCATTATCATACTGTGCCTGGTTCGATATAGTGCCGTTTTCAGCCCACTGACACAGGGTAGCACTATATCGCGACCCCCTGTACCTTTTTTGGGCAACGATGCAATTTGCGGGCAACAAGTCATTCATTAACCCGTGCCCGCGTCACGCGTCACGCCCACACCTGTCCACGTAGCGATTCCCCCGCGAGACCTCGCGGCGTCCCCCTGCACCGGCGCCCCCGCCACCGCGCCCAATGCCGCGTCGCGCTGACCACGCGCCGCCGCTCGCGCCCGGCGACCCGCACAGCTCCGCCCGGCGAACGGCCTTCCCCCGCTGCAACACGCCCGCTCGCATGGCGACCGAGACGCCGTTCTATACCGCGAACGCGTTTGCGGAGCGCTTGTGCCGCCTGCTCACCTCCGCGCGACGCTGGCGCCGGGGCCTGGCCTGGTGATGCTCAGCCACGGGTTCGCGTCGAGCAATTGTTGCGCATTCGTGACGACGCTGGCGGCGGTCGTCTTGGCGCGGCTGCCGGCGGGGCATGGCGGGGCGTGGGGTCGACTCCCTGATAGAAACGCCAGAACATACCGTACCTTCATATTTGGAGTACGGAAAGTACTTTTCGTTACGTTGTATGATTAGAAAAATGACTGCGGTCCCAGTGCCGTGCACGGTCACTCCGGCCATTAGCGTAATCGGTGACCGTGATCATTTTCTTGGATACATGGCGGCGTCATTCTGGGCTGCAACGCTAGGGGCCTGCGACTGTCGCTACCTCGTCTTCTCGTTTCCGCTTCTGGGAGGATGCCGGCGAGCCCGACTTGTGCCTGCGCCTCGCCACGCCTTGTTTTCGTCGTGCGGCACCAATCTCCTTCTGTCTACCAGATTCTTAACTTGCCCCTTTCTATTCTTCTTGACATGTTCGGAATCAAGATCCTCCTCTAGCTAGTGCCCCGCCTCTGACTTTCTCCTCTTCTTCACATGTTCAAAATCGGGATCCTCCTGTAGCTTTCGCTCGTGCCGCTGCTGTTCCGCTGGCTTGGCAGGCTTTCTTCGCTTTCTTTCTTCGCTTTTCTTCTGCTGTATTGTCCGTGGCGCACGAGCAGCGCCCGCCTTCAAATTCAGCCTCAACCGAAGCCCAGAGCTCCGAATCGAGGTTTCCCATGTCCAAAGAAAGTCTTTGTATCCGGGCAAACGTTTTTCGGAGCTCGACTGTACGCCAGCCATGTCTTCCAGGCGAGAGATAAGATCCCCGAGAAGCACAGGATCACGCCTCCTGACCAGCACAGGCATGTGTCCTGCTCGTCGACAGCGAGAACTGAGCTTGCGGCCAAAATGAGATACACATCGTGCCTCACAGTTGTCGGGGCAACTGCCGCATATCTCATCGCTAAAATCACACGCGTATTTACATATGCTACACACTATCCGCGCACCAAGTCCAAGCCCGGGTCCCAGTTGTTTGTTCTTGACAAGTCCCCTTTCTTGCAATGGATAGAGCATCAACATTCACTCATTTTTCGTTGCTATGCGCTACCTTTGGTTGCGGGGCAACAGCGACTGCTGCATTGCCGTTTGTAGAACTGCGGATGTAATTTCCATGTACGGTATGAGTGGTATAGGTAGTCCCACCGATGCGGTACAAATGACCACACTAATCGAGGCAACACTTGCCGTCATGGGATGGACTGCACCCCTGCCTTTTAAAATTTCCTTGTGGTCTCGTCTGGTAGCCCCTGTTGTGGATTTAGTGCCCCTTCTGCCACCTGTTGTGCAACATGAAAGCGTCGCTGTGTTCAGGAGTCAAGGCAGTTGGCGGAACGATTTGTGCTGCTGGTAGTGCGGAGAATGCGCTTACTGCTAAGACATCTATTGAGGAAGGAGCTTTCTACGCGGGAGACGTGCAAACTTCCGTTCTATGCCCTTTGTAGGGCTTCGAGATATGTTTCTTCGTTGCTGGCTCGCTTTTGGCGAGCCGCTTCGGACGAAGTGGTGCCATTGTCTCGTGGATTACTGCGAGGCACATCTGGAGAGCCGTATTCCGACGGCGAGACAGAGACATGCGCCGCAATTCCATTCCGGATCATGCGGTACAGGAATAAAATTGGCGATGGGGAACTTGGGACTGCGAAGCCGCAACTTGGGTGGAGATGTCTTGCGCTGGGGTTTGGAGTTGCATTTTGGGAGCTGAGGAGGTTGTACTCGTAAAAGCGGGGGGGGGGGGTAACTAATAGTGTAAAAGCGGGGGGTAACTAGTAGTTACCCCCCCGCTTTTACAAGTACAAGTTACTAACTAGAGGGGGGAGGGCCTTGCTGTGACGTTTCATGTGATTGGGGGAGGGGGCGAGCGTGACGGATTTGGGGCATCGCTGTAACCCAGAAGGTATCGGTGGGTCCGGGCGCTGCATGGCCGGGGGCCGAGGGCGAGCTTGTGTGACGGAGACCGCCTTCGAATGGCCGGCACGGAAGATGTGGCCGGCACGGAAGATGTGTTGCTCACGAATAAGGGGGCGCCAGACGTGTCAGAACAGCATGAGTTGCCACGCGACACGGTTAGCACGGGCGTGCCTGCGAAAGATTTGAACATGGAGATGTCATTGAACCGGTCGTGGCGACGTCGTTTGATGCGCCGGATTTTGCCCTCATCAATGTCGCGGTCGAGAGGTTTCGCAAGGTCGAGAGCTGCCAGAGGCGCCCCCAAGGTGGAGACCACGCGAGGGAACATCGTGCGCGCGGCGGACGATGACGGCGACGGGCAGGTGGACATAATGCTCAGCCAAGGTTGTCGCAAGGAGTTTTCGGGGGGCCGCCAGCTGATGAGGAACGAGATAGAGTTGGACGATAAGTCGCACGACCGCTAGGTGTGGGGCCTGAACGAATGATGAGACGGGTGCGGGGGGAGAAGGGGGGCGCAGATGGGGGAATGCCGAATATTGATACGGTGAATTTCAACGTAGGCGCGGCGTCCAAGATGGATCGGGTCATGGTCAGGTAGACATCAGGGAGTGGGCGATGGTCTTGACAGATGTACAAGTGGACAGGATTGTGTCATATCGGACGTTACAAGGCTGGTGGAAATTACTGTAGTGTCCTAGTATCAAAAACTTTTTATTGCTATTGATTTTTTCTAAATTTTTGTAGGGGGGCCGAATCTGGCTGGCTTTATATTATAGTTTCTGTACAGTACAAGTACAGTGCCTCCTACGATATAGTGCTATAGCGTGACATACCTCTAGCTATGGCACTATTGGAGGGATGGCACTATATAAAGGAGGCTCAAATACATATATTTGGGGACAAAGCACACTGCTAACACAAACACAACATAGCCTGTATAACACAAATAACTTCATCCTTTGAGTACTGAACCATGCCGGATGATACACGTGTGAGCTTATGATAACCTGTGCCAGAGGGTGAGCCATAGCACTATATAGAGGGAGGCACTACTAAAGTAGGCACTATTGAGCGACCCCCCCTGTACTATTTTCTCTTCTCTATGGCACCTGACCGGGTCGAACACCTCCCCCAACAGCTCGCTCAGGTCAGCGCTAATGACGCTTAGATTCACATCATAGTCCAAATCTTTTAGTTTAAAGGAGCTCCCGCACCTTCTACCTCTCGCGGCTCCGCCTGGCGCTTGCTCTCTTCCGCACCGCCCTCGCCCTCGGGACCGCCACGCGCGCCGCTTTCGCCGCCTTCGCCTTCGCCCCTTCGCCTTCGCCCCTTCGCCTTCGCCCGCCCGGCCCGCCGCCGCCGCCGCCAGCCCGTGTCCCACCATCAGAGCCCTTCCCCGCCGTCCCTCCCCGCCGCCGCGTCCCTCCCCACCGCCGCCGCCTCCATCGCCGCCAGTAGCAGCCCGAGCTCCTCCGAGACCGGCGACATCACGCCTAGCCCGCGGCGACAGCAGCACGTCCAGCTCCTCGAGCGCGCCCCCGCCCTCCATCCCGCCGCTGCTGCTGCCCCCGCTCATCCTTGCGCGCTGCCGGCACGAGGGGGGAGGGTGGGATGCAGACGTGGTCAATGTGGGCGAGGGAAGCAAGTTCATTTCTTCAGGCACAACAACAGTGTGGTCGGAATATGGCGGAAGCAAGCGACGCTCGCACTTTATCGACTACTCCGCGGGAGCCACAGCTGTATTGGAAGGAGATCGTCGTTGCGGAATAGAATTCAAATAAGTTTTTTAGGTTTGCATGCGCCCGGATGTTGCCGGAATGCTATCCTGTGCAGCAGAGGCAACACATGGCCTTGCGCCAGTTGTAGCACCCAATATCGTACAAAAGATGAGGGATATCTGCTTTAGGATTGGGATGAGAGCACGTGGAAACGTGGTTATGCTATGGTGGCAGTTTGCAGCTGAGGGGGGGAGGGCGGAAACTGCTCTAGGTTGGGAGCACGGAGAAGAGAGAAAAGTGGCCATGCTAAGCTCACAGTTTGCAGCCTAAGTGGATGGTACAGTATTGGAGCAAACGCAAGGGCAACCTTCAGCCGATGTTATTGGAGAAACGTGAGAGCCATGAGGGTGACGAGAAAGAAAGACACAAATTGACGAGACAGTTCGGAGTGTATGATGTGTGCGTAAATGACACAGCCTGTGTTTTGATTGTGCTAACTGCTGCGAGTTGCGGCGTTGGAACAAGTACATATGTTTGTTCGGCGAATACAAAAGCGGGCTTTCAGTATCACTTTAGGAACTGTACCTGGCACCGCCCACGCCCTCACGCTCTCAAGCTGTCCTGCATGACAGGAGCAGAGAGCTGCTTGCGAACGAGGCTCTAGGTGCATCGCAGAAATGCATCAAGTGACACAACCAGCCCCTGAATGGCTATCACTGTACTTGCTGCATCGCGAGTAGCAAGAATACCGAAGGCTGGGGTACGTTTCATGTTGATGGTCGCTACGTTCAGTCTGAGAACATCAACTCTTCTCCGACTCTTCATGAGTTGTTCGGCATTCATCAATGTCATGGATGAGATGTGATTTGAAGTTGGAGAGTGTACGTTTCAGTGATATGTAGGGTGCGCGGAATGGTGGACTTAGTTATGACTAAAGCAGAAAAAGAGGTGAGTTTTGTTTTTGTTTGTTCAAGTTTGAAAGGAAGGAATCGAAAAGGTGTGTTGTGTACCACTGCACTCCCCTGAGGCTTCACGCGGAGCAGCAATGCAAGCTCCGTTTCTAATGCGGTGACATCACCGCATTGGAAACGGAGCTTGTCAACAAGAACGATGCGACGGTGTCCGTGAGGGAGAGGGCGAACGATCGTTACTGAACGAGGGTGTGATCTCTGGCAGTCGTGTACTTGGTGTACACGTGCGGTGTGGGTGAATCATGACACGACATCGCAATGGATTACGGGGGGGACGCGCAATAGTGCCGCTTTTATTATTGCCACCCTCGAATTAGTGCCGCGAAAACCGGCAGACACAGCTTCTGCCACGTGTCATGCACGCCGTCGTCATCGCCCACTCCTCATGCTGCGCAGCTCAAATTGGTGATGGCACCTCACTCAAAGACCCTAACATGATTCCTGAAAAGACCGCCAAAGCGAAGCGTACGCGCCTTACGATTGCACAGAAAATCGAGGTTGGGCATCTGCTGCAGGTCGGAAAGTTGGTCGAAATGAAACAGAAATTGATAAATCTATGGTGGATGGTATAGTAGGGTTTCTCTCCCGACTGAGCCTGGTGCCAGAAGACGGCCTTGCAGAAACTACAGAATTCTGCAGGAAAGATGTGGAGGAATAGATTGAGATCGAGACTAATGAGCTTGTGGCAGAAGCTTCTATTAGTGATGCTTGCGATTCAATACATTATGGTGGAGAGCTACAGAATCAGTCTGCCAGTGATGCTATGATGGATGATTGTGTGGCAGAAGACGAGTGTGAAATTACGGAGAGGCGGGCCGTACCGAGTGCTGTACCCGTACATGCCCCCCTTTCTTGAACAGAGCACCCATCACTGGAACAAAAACTTTATTGCAAATTTTATTGTGATTCAGCTTCTACCGGTAAAGGACTCTACTTTTGAGTGAAAAACGTTCAGTGACAATGACGTAAATCGTTCAAAAATGCAAATGGCGCAATTTGACATGCAGAATCCGACTTGGCGCCCTTTTTGCCATCGGAAAACAAACTTTGGTGAAACCTCGGTGCAAATTGGGGCATTAGAGCTCATTCCGCTTCTCCTCACACCACGGCCACCACACCATGACCAAGAAGACCAGTCGCGAGAGGAAAGAAGAGCACTACTTCAACCGAGCCGTCATTGCTATCGATAATGGCGCAACTAGGCGCGAGGCTGCCCGACTTGCCCGGCTCCCTTTGGCGACTTTTCAGTACAGATTCGCACACAGAGGTGAATCAAAAAAAGCACGCACCTACATATCCCCCGATGAGGAGCAAGTCATTGTTGACCTTGTTCTTTCGTACTCTCGCCGCGGCTTCCCCCTCAAACGGACAGACGTCGCAGATGCTGTCCAATTGATGGTGACTTCGTTTTCAGCCGAACGCCAGAATACAATACCTTTTATTGAGGGGCGCCCTGGACGAAAGTTTCTATCACTCTTTTCTAAGCGCCACCGAGAAAAGATCAAATTCGGAAGGGCCTCTACAGAGGAAGAGACTCGCTGGAAAGCAACCAATGCCGAAAATCTGACGACCCATTTTGCAGAATTGGAACGGCTAATTCGTGTGTACAACTTGGACTCTTCGCGCATTGCCAACCTAGACGAAAGTGGTATGACACCAAGCAAAGATTGTGCACAGTCGAATAGAAGAAAGTCCTACAGTGCTCGAGGACAGAAGTCTCTTCAGAGATCACCAGAGTTTAGGAATGTTAAACGAATAACAGTCATGCCCGTGATATTTGCCAATGGGGATGTTGGTCGCCCTTTATTTGTTGTCGAGGGTAAATCTCTAAAGTATCGCACTGTTGAGCTCAATGGGGCACCTGTCATGGAGACGGTTGCCGATTGTCTTCCTCGAGGAAGTGTCATAACCACAAGAGAGGATGTGGCTGGGGTGGACAGCAAAAACTTCCTGCGCTGAGCAAAATATTTTGCGGATGATGTCAAGGACCTCACAGAAAATGGCAGGAAGGTTCTTTTAATTTTGGATGGCTATCGAAGCCATATGGGGTACCGGGTTCTACATACTCTGAAGCAAGCTGGGATTGTGGTATACGCATTGCCTGCGCATACAAGCGGCACAACCCAACCTCTGGATGTTGGGGTTTTCGGTCCATTTAAAGAACACATTCGCAGCTGTGTCGAACAGCTTTCTTCCCCTACAGAATGGAAGAGCTACGACGTGTTTGACTATATGAAGGTAATGCGAGAGGCATATGGCAAGGCGTTCACGCGAGCACATGTGACCTCTGCTTTTAGGAAATCTGGTATATGGCCACTCAATGCTGGTGCCCTCATCGACGTGCCCCGTCCGCAGTGTTCTATCAATAACATATCTTTGGCGACAGTCTCGGAAATGAAGGAAATGCTAGAAAAGAAACGCTTGGTGTACAAGGATAGTTTAGGCGTACAACCGCGCGTGCTACAATGCGGTTATGTTGACACATCGGCTGGGTTGACCCTGACAACGGATGTCGCGATGGAGTTGGCAAGGTGTAAGGACGCTATGGGAAGAGCTAGGCGGGCAGTAAGGCAGGAGAGGGAGGCCGATGTAGAGCAACGTGCAGCTGAGGCTGTGGAGCGGACTAGAGCACAGCGCTTAACGCTACGGGAGAAAGCGCTTGCTTTCCGTGTGCACCATTATAAGGATGCGACCATTTATCCAAGGTCTCTGTTGGTACGTCGCCAGATTGCGAAGAAGAGAACTTCCGCTCGGCGTGCCGCAATCTTCAAGAAGGCAGCACAGGAGGTTGCACCGTCCCCGAATAGCAATTAGAATTAAAAATTGCAATGTCGAAATGCATCAGCCAGTGAAATGTCCGTGCAAATAATGGGTGCTTTTTCTGTGGTTGCAACCTCTCCGATACCCGGACCGAAAGACGCCGTTCATGCCGATGTATGAGCCTTTTGGCTCCTGAGATCAGAAAAGCAGGTACGTGGAGACTGTCAGTTTTCCAAACAGTCAAAAATTTTTCTCCGATGCCGCTTGCTTCTTGTTTTTACATTTATTTTTCTAATCATGTTCAACTTAGGGGGTACCCCACTAGTAGTGCTAGCCAGGCTGTTTGGGTCTTTGGAGAGTCTGGGTGTGGAGTGCGATGTGAGCAATGCCTTATCGCACTTGAGGTCCGCAAAACGAGCTTTTCTAGAAGCTAGGTATGAGAGACAGGGTCAAAGGCAACAACAGCAGACTCTAATAACAGAGTTCTGGCCGGGTAGTGGTTCTGCCATCTGATTGTGCCGCTCAGAATTAGTGCCGTATTATTAGTCTTTACACGGGACGGCACTAATGCGTAGGGTCGAGTGGCTGTTTTTTTTTATAATAACAAAAGGGCGAAGTTTTTGGAACGATAGGATTACACCTACAGTACAGTATCTGGTACTTTATCCATAAAATAAAGCCAAACCGCTGGCCGCCCGAGACTCGGGAGAAGGGGCCATCGCAATCGGCCATCGGTGTTCTTGGCATCACATGCTTTCCTTCATTGGAGCACAGAAGTGTACAAAAAGCGTGGACGGAATGTTACTTGCACCCCTTCTGAATTACAGTAACAGCGAGGATAGTTTTCTGCGGAAACGTGTGACACGTGTTCCAGTAGAGTTGCAGCTGCCATTGTTGAAACAAGAAACTCGCAAACCTCTTTTCTTCGTCGTCACTACTCTCGCTCCAACTTATCCGTCTCGCTGCTGACGGTGATCAGACTGCCTATCGTGGTCGGTGTGTCACTGGGGGCCGCTTGTTTCACCTGTGCCGGCCAGGATACTTTCCCTTTTGCCTAGTGCTTATCTCTCACATGGTAGCCGATGCCCCTTGCAGAGACGGTGTTCTTCATTGGATCGAGTGACGACGCCGACGTTCCGTGAAGGGAGAGGGAAGGACGTTGTCGGATGGCAGAGACTTGGCAGGCCGCTGCTTGGTACGAAAGGAGGGGCACGAAGGAGGAGGGGAACGGCAGCGAAACAATGTCTCGAGATAAACCAATTCTCAATGCCGTCACAACTCTCGATCGGGGCCGCTCTGCAACTTCTTACTTCGTATGTCATATTTCCATAGCGAACTGTGCCTTTCGCAACGCGCTTGCGCTCTTCTTCTCGCACGACATTCATGTGCGCCCCTTGCAATGCTTGATGTGCTTTTCACCCAACACGCGCTCCTATTCCCTGCCACATCTCTCAACAGACATCTTTCCTCTCTCCGGTCTCCCGACGCCTTTCTCTCCTCGAAAACCTGTTCGCCATCTCACAAAGGCGTCTTCTTCGGCACCCCCAGCAACCTCGGAAACGCCACTAGCGTTGCCTTCACCTTTCGTACAGCCACAATACACTTCTTCCTTCCGTCAACCTCTTCCGCCTCTTCCCCCTGCCCCTGCATCCACTCCCACGGCCACGCCTCGCGCACACCTTCCAGCTTCCCGCCCAGCCTTCTGATGGCCTTCTTCGCGGCGGCGATCTCCTCAGCGCCCGCGCCCACGCTCTTTTGCGTCAAAAACGCACCCCCGCCCCCTTTGCCAGCGGCACGCACAGTCCGCAGCAAATGCGTATTTCCGCCAACCACCGTGCCACGACCGCGTCATACCGTCCCCGATGCATCTTACTCTGCCCGACCTCCTCCGCCTTCCCCCACACGGACGTCACGTTGGGCAGGGCCAGCTCGCGTTCCACGATGTCGTGGAAGCGCGTCTTCTTGCGCGCGGCCTCGAGCAGCGCAACGTCCCACTGCGGCCTCGCGATGGCCAGGACGAGCCCCGGTAACCCCGCACCCGTGCCGACATCGACGACGCGCAGCCCGGTGGCAGCGGCCGCGGCCTCCGCATCCAGCGCCGGTAGCAGGCTCAGCGCGTCCACGACGTGCTTAAGAAGCACGGCATCGCGCGTGCGGATCGCCGTGAGGTTGTACCGCTTGCTCTCGCTCAGCAGCAGATCCGTGAGCCGCACGAGGGTGTTGAGCCGCGCCACGTCCAGGCCCTGCGAGTGGGCCGCGCGGCGCAGCACCGCGTGCGCGAGGGCGATGTTTTGCTGCGTCGCGCAGCCGCGCAGCGCCACGCGCCGCAGCGGCCGCGCCCGGCATGCAGATCGCGGCACGTGACGGGCGCGCCGGGTCGGCGGCGAGACGGCGAAAGCCATGCGGCAGGGGGTGGGTCACGGAGCCATGTAGACATGTAGACGAGGATGGTGTGCGTGGGGGCGGCGGGCGTGGAGGTTCGAAATATCTGCAATGAGATCGAGAAGGATCTGTGGGTAGGGACCCGATTTTGGCGGGCGTCGGCGGGAGTGTTGCCACGCGGTGTTAAGGATGTTATATTGCTTTTCCCTGCTTGAGGCTGCTGCGGTCACGGTCACGAGGCGAGCGGCAAGCCGGTGCGGCAGAGCAGTCGGAGGCCGACTGTGGGATCTGCTAAACTGGGCGACCCGTGCTGTGCTTTCGGGTAAGGAAAGTCGGCTGCTCTGCCTTTACTGGAAACGGAGTACCGGAAACGGAGTACCGTTAGCGTACAGATGAGTGTTTTCGATTAACACCGAGTCGCCGTTGGCCACAGGTTTCGGAGATTCGCCCACAACTCTGCCGTCCCGCTCCGTCGTCCTCCCTTTTGCCTGTCTTCCTCTCCGGCTTCTCCTTCTCCGGAAGGAGAAGGCCCTCGCGGCGATGACGAATGCACTATAATACACGTGTTACTGTTGTCATATATAATATATAATAATTACAACCAAAACAATTACACCAAAAATGTGTTACATTACGCCGCCTATCCATGTAGTACTGTACCTCTCCCGCCCTCGCTGCCCTCGCCTTCCATCCCGCCCCCGCCTTCCTCTGTTCTCGCTCACCCTCGTCCCACGTAGTACGCGGGACGCGCGATTTCATTAAATCATGTTTTTTCGCGCATTTGCGCGCAAAAACTGCCAGATAATGCTGCAAAATGAAAAAATCACCACTTCGGCCTTCCTCAGACGACTGCAACGATAATCGCGATCAACCATCGAAATCGAGATCCCCCATGCTTTCCTAGGGTCCCTGCAGCCCATCTCCATCATTGTCCAAAGTCCTTTCTTCATGAAGAATCATGAAGTTTCTCAGTTTCTGCATGAAAAAACAGGCAAAAAGCAAAAATGAAAAAATAACCCGAAATCGCGGCCGCGTACTGCCGTCTGATCTGTCCCGCTGCAACGCCGCAAGTTGGGCTACCGCCTCCGCGTTGTTGTCTTTCTCGACCGCCATCTCGTACAACTGTATCGCTCGATCCGTGTCGCGGGCCACCCCGTCCGCCCCGTCTCGCATCATGTTTCCAAGACACACCATTGACTTGCTCTGCTTCCGTTCCTTGATGTCCATCTCAAACAGCTCCACCGCACGCACCGCATTGCGCTCCACCCCTTCCGCTCCGTCCCTCAACGTCATCGCAAGATTGCAAGTCGCGTTACCGGAATTTCCTTTCGCCATTGCACGATCATACAGTGCCACAGCTCGTACCGCGTCACGCTCTACTCCTTCGCCACCTTGTTTCAGCAAATTACCGAGGTTAACCATAGCATCGACGTCCTCACCCTTCTCGATAGCGCGCTCATACAGCTCCATAGATCGCACTGCGTTACGCTCTACTCCTTCGGCACCTTGTTGGAGCAAAACACCGAGGTTAACCATGGCATAGACGTTCTCACCCTTCTCGATAGCGCGCTCATACAGCTCCACTGATCGCACCGCGTTGCGCTCTACTCCTTCGGCACCTTGTCTCAGCAAATTACCGAGGTTATTCATGGCATAGACGCTCTCACCCTTCTCGATAGCGCGTTCAAACAGCTCCACTGATCGTACCGCGTCACGCTCTACTCCTTCGGCACCTCGTCTCAGCAAATTACCGAGGTTATTCATGGCATTGACGTACTCACCCTTCTCGATAGCGCGTTCATACAGCTCCACTGATCGCACCGCGTTGCGCTCTACTCCTTCGGCACCTTGTTGGAGCAAAAAACCGAGGTTATTCGTGGCATAGACGTTCTCACCCTTCTCGATAGCGCGTTCGTACAGCTTCATAGATCTCACCGCGTTACGCTCTACTCCTTCGGCTCCTTCTGAGAGCAAAAGACCGAGGTTAACCATGGCATCGACGTTCTCACCCTTCTCGATAGCGCGCTCATACAGCTCCATAGATCGCACCGCGTTACGCTCTACTCCTTCGCCACCATGTTTCAGCAAAAGACCGAGGCTAACCATGGCATCGACGTGGTCACCCTTCTCGATAGCGCGCTCATACAGCTCCACTGATCGCACCGCGTTGCGCTCTACTCCTTCGCCACCTTGTTTCAGCAAATTACCGAGATTAAACATCGCAACGACGTCCTCACCCTTCTCGATAGCGCGCTCATACAGCTCCACTGATCGCACCGCGTTGCGCTCTAATCCTTCGGCACCTTGTTGGAGCAAAAAACCGAGGTTAACCATGGCATAGACGTTCTCACCCTTCTCGATAGCGCGCTCATACAGCTCCACTGATCGCACCGCGTTGCGCTCTACTCCTTCGGCACCTTGTTGGAGCAAAAAACCGAGGTTATTCATGGCATCGACGTCCTCACCCTTCTCGATAGCGCGCTCATACAGCTCCACTGATCGCACCGCGTTACGCTCTACTCCTTCGCCACCTTCTGAGAGCAAAAGACCGAGATTAAACATCGCACTGACGTGGTCACCCTTCTCGATAGCGCGCTCATACAGCTCCACTGATCGCACCACGTTACGCTCTACTCCTTCGGCACCTTGTTTCAGCAAATTACCGAAATTAAACATCGCATTGACGTTCTCACCCTTCTCGATAGCGCGTTCATACAGCTCCACTGATCGCACCGCGTTACGCTCTACTCCTTCGCCACCTTGTTTCAGCAAAAGACCGAGGCTAACCATGGCATCGACGTGGTCACCCTTCTCGATAGCGCGCTCATACAGCTCCACTGATCGCACCACGTTGCGCTCTACTCCTTCGCCACCTTGTTTCAGCAAATTACCGAGATTAAACATCGCAACGACGTCCTCACCCTTCTCGATAGCGCGCTCATACAGCTCCATAGATCGCACTGCGTCAAGTGCTTCTTTCCCTTCTGTCTCTCTTGGCTCGAAAGCAACCCGCTCCCCAATCTGACGCAGCTCCCTATCCCTCGTGGAATAATGAAGGCGGTCGGCTTCTTGCTCCTCACTTTTCTTTTTCACCCACCGAGATACTCGTTTCACAAGATGTTCCCTTGCATCATGGCTGAATTCATCTTCCAGCAGGTTCGTTGCGTTTTCGTTATTTTCTATTCCAGTGATATCTGCCAACTCTTGTAGCTCTCTCATCACCGTATCCGTGCTCGCTTCGCGCTGTCGTTCCTCGCTAAAAAACTTCTCAACTTGAAAAATATTATTTCCTTCATCATCCGAGTACCGATTGGGCTCCAACTCTCTGCATTCACGAATACTTAATCTGTAAAACACCGGCATCAGTGTCGGTGGCGGCATCCCACTGCTTATCGCTTCTTTGCGTCGGCGCAGGAAGCACCGCAGTTCCCTCATTGTCCATTTTCGAGCTGCAAACTCGGGAGAAAGAATGAAAACACCGACCTTCGCAGACTCCATAGCCTTCGTCATTTCATCCCGTCCGCAGTCCCCGGGCTCCATCGAGATTTTGTCGAGGAAGCAATTTAAACCTTGAGCTTGCAATTTCTTGGAAAGAGGACGTGCGATGAGTAGCTTGTCCGGGCCAGCATGGCTTATGAACACATCGGGAGACTGTATATTTCGCCGTGTTCTACTTGGTCCCGTCTCTTGTCGCAAGCTTTCCTGCATTTTTTTGTGAATAGCTAAAGACAAGTTGGTGAGGTGCGGAGTGTGTTAGGAGTGTGTTATGCGTGAGAACGGTACCGGCTGTTAGGAAAACAGGGACGCGAAGGTTGAAGGCCGCGTTCAGTGCGCGGCACTCTTGCCGTTGTCGACGAAAGCGGAAACAGTGGCGACGGTCGTGTGCGTGCGTGTGGGTAGCGTGAGCTGATGTGCTTTCGCTTGTTCTTTCGTGAATGAATGTTCGTGTGATTCCAGCGAGGAAAGACGCACTAATCGTAAAGCATGAAAAGAATCATGAAACGATGATTTACGTACTGTTGTTGTTCGGTCGAAGGGGGTTGGTGGTGTTTTCTGGGAAAGTGGGGTGTTGAGTCTCGCCGTAGAGTCTGGTATGTCCGATCTGTCGACACTCGGCCACCTTCCACGCTTTGATTTCCTCCCCATCCCTTCTAGAAGCATCCACGCATCCGGCCCGGATTTCCCAGACCGTCTGCGCGCGCTTCCCTAAAATTCATATAAAATATCCACCTACAGTATAACATCTCACACTACAGTGCTGTAAAATGTAATTTTGCAGTAAAATGCCCTCACAACTGTGTTGACGTCACACCAAACCAACGATTGGAGGAAAGCATAACGTTTACACAGCCATGTTGAGCGCAGGCTCTTGTCTGTAATTTGGCTGTAATTTGGAGAAAGCCAACAGTCCAATGAAATGGCTCTATGACCTCCACCATCGCTCGATTGTTGGCTGATGATGATTTAGGGTACGTACCATTGTAGAATTAATGATTAATCACTATTCTACCGACGACGGCGCAGCGGAGAGGCGCGCACCAGAGTTTGCTCTAGTTGACATAAAGTGGGGTGACCGGGTCACTGTAGACGCGACGAGACCCGAGGGAGGAGGAGACATTTCCCCGGATAACCTTGCTTGCCTTTTATTGCTCTGGTTGACATAAAATTCGGGTGACCGGGTCACTGTAAACCCCCGATCGAGACACCACACGTCTTCCTTCTCCCCTCATCGCAACGCAACCCACTACAGTACCGACCTATGACCGTGGAAACTTCTCAATACTTTCCTCTCCGACGTACTCCACAGCTTCAACGTCCCGTCTTCACATCCCAAAAAAACGTACCCCTTGCTCTCACAGAAAGTTGCGCAGGTAGCTCTCGTCACACTCGGGTTTCTGCAGTCACTTCGGAGGTTGCCCTTCTTGCTTCAACGTCCCCTGCGCTCTGGCTCTCCGTTTCTAACTCGCCTCCTAATCGAACCGTCTTCGTCACCTTCTCAGCACATTGCGTGAAAACTGTTACTTCTGCCCCGCACGACCTCAACTGACATCCATACACTTCACCGCTGGAATCCATACCTATTTGAACGTTTCGCGCACCGTAATATGGCAGAACAATCTGCGCCGCCAACCTTCCATCGGCTCGCGCTACACACCCACTCACAATCTGCACCCACGGCCGTGGTGCGTATCTCTCGATTTCCTCCAGCATCTTTCGTACACAACCTGAATCCCGTGCCTTGTGCTTCACTCACCCATACAGCTGAAAGTAAATCCCGGCACTGTTTTCACCACATAATCGTACACTCAGTCGCGCAGCCCGCATCATTAAAATCATTGCATCCACTGCGTCCTCATCGACCCGTCCCCTTCCCGCCTTCCCGCTTCCTCTTTTCCCGTTCAAGTCTCTACTCAATCTCTTTAAAGCTTCCTCGTATTGCCAAACCCCGCCTCTCCTCTCTGTACTACTGTCTTCACCCATCGCGCACTCAAAAATAGTCTCTTAAGCTCCTCTACAGACCCACCTTGTCTCAGAACACGGTATATGTTTCTCGAAAACGTACTCCTATCCTGCGCTCTCGCCCTCTCCCAGAACATACTGGATCGATGTGCGTGGCTTGTGCACTTAAAGGTATGCCCCTAACCCAGGTGTCATACAAGTAGCATGCGTGCGGGAGCACAGCGCGCATCAGGGTGCGATTCACGGTCGCATTACTCAAAACCAGTGCACATCACCGGGAGGCGGGGGAGGCGGGGGACCGTCAAGTTCTGCATCGTTCGTGATGCATTCAGTTTCAATAACAGTGCGATAGGTACAAGGTTAAGTTAGGTACAAAGGTAAGTGGACTTCAATGTAGGCCACGAGGTTTGAAATGGACATGAGGTTACCCGAAAACCGCAGCTACCATTCCACTCTGAGAAATTTGTCTCTCCGTATCTCTGGGCCTTAAAAGCATACCTCTCTATCGATTTGGAGGATGGTTGAGAGTCGTCACATGCGCAGATGGCATCTGGATATGCTGGACAGTGTGCAATCGTGGACAAAAGCGCATCGTGTCTCGGAAAAGAGCAGATACATTGTACGGCACACTTGGGCACTCCACTGAAGTGGCGCACGAAACATCTCCAAGCGTGGCAACCGTGTTAACTGTTGCATATCGCTACTGCATACGCATTTCTTGGCAACATGTGGTACATATATTTAGTGCTGTATTGGGCGAAAGGGGACTCTGTACCCACTAGCAACGGCGAAGATAGTTTTCGGCGGAAAAACTCCGAAACGTGCAGGTAGTG